CCAGCATGTTTTGGAACCGCATTACATAGTAGCTCAGGTATTTTGTCCAGGAACACTATACAATAACAATAAAATAACTCTGTGTTTAGAGATAAAAAAAAAATGGCAGACAAAGTGTGATCATCTGCAAACACTAAAATGAAACAGGTCACCATTTGAAAGCATTTTGCCAGGAAGTCAAAATCCAGCATGTTAGTGTGATTGTACAACTTATGGATGCTTATCGTGACTTTTTGCTTAAAGCTGATACATAAAAAAAGCTTTGAAAAAGTGATCAAATACCGTAACTGCTCTTCAAAGTAATAATAATGAAACTGTCTAATGCACAAGTACAGTATATCCTCTGCTTAAACATAATACAAAAAAACCAACTGTTTTGTATTATGATGATACTATGATTACTATAGAAATAGTTAAATACATTTTAATTCAAGGCAATAATTATTGTTTTACTTTAAAATGGGACCCAATCTTCTCAGGTACCGATTTTCGAGGGGAGACCCTGAGTAAGATCCAGGTTCCTACTGCAAAAACCACGTATGAACTGAATGGCTTAGAAGTTTTTTTTGTATTTCTTTTTTCCAGCTTTTATTGTCTTTACACTGTCACAAGTACAGAGCAATGGAATTTACTCTCTCCATTTAAACCCATCCCCTTGGGGAGCAGTTGACTGTCATTGTGGCGCCCGGGGAGCAGGGTGGGGTTAAGGGTCTTGCTCAGGGACCCAGAGAGTGTCAGTCTGTGAGAGTGAACCTCTGGATTCCAAGCACAATGCCCTAACCACTGGGCTGCCACTCCCCCACAAAGAGGTTATCACCTAACTAACAGACAGCCCATTTCTGCTGCAACTATTAGACCAAAATATTCATTTGGTTTTTAAAATAAGGAGTCTGTCCCTTTTTTTTTTTTTTTTACAAAACCACAAACATGCAGAGTCTAAAGTCTCTGAAAAAGCAACACGTTTTCACTCTCAAGTGTCTGTTTTTTTCATGTAAGGATACCAGGACAAAAACAGGAGTATGAGCTGACTTCAGTGTCACAGACGTTTTGGTCAGCTGTTTAACTTCCTCATGTAAAAGTTCTTCCAGAAAGTAGAGTGTAGTCATAGTTATGGAAAATAAACATCATCAAACTAAACCATTGTGAACCCAAAAGGCCAAAAATCATTTGTCTCTAAAACTTTATGAGTTTATTTAACTGGATTGATGAATGTTTGTGTGGGCAGAAAAATGTGTAACAGAAGCTGAAAAAAGCTTTATATATGTCTATCTATCTACGTATATCTATATATTTATATATATAAAGGACATGGACAATTTTGCAATCACTACATTTATAAATGTATTGCTGTAACATAATGTCACATTCATAACTAAAATATATTTTTTTGGGTGGGGGAAAGGGTTATCTTACCAATGAGTTTTCATCTGTTTTATGTGTAAGAAAGCTGCTGCTTAATTTCCTCTGTGGTTTCTTTGTCCGTTACGACAGCTTCTTCTTTAGTTCACTAAAAGCTTTTGTCAGTTATTACCGTAAGTCTGCAAAACACAAATGACACACACATACAGTACATAATAGCCTCTTTATTACACAGAAATATAAAAGTAAATATATATATTTATTCATTTATCACCATCTTGGAGAGAAAGGACCAAGTCAAGAAAACAACTTGTAGCCTAAGATGTAGCAGTTTTCTCTTTGTCATACCAAAAGACAGAAAAAATAAGAAATAAAAAGAATCTGAAACAGGAAGGCCACAGTGACGGGTTGTCATAGATTCTGTGCACACGTAAGGAAGGGAGGCAAAAACAGCAGCACATGCTGTAATACAAAATCAACCACATATGCACATTTTCCCTCCAGTTACCCATGAGGACCTGTAACCATCTACATTCACTTAACCCTGTCATTACAAAAAATAAAAAATTGTTCATGCACTTTCAGCTTGCAGCAACATGTTCTCATGCTTTGCATCAAGGAATTATATATATTTGTTCCAATGTTTTTATTGTTTCTTAAGATGTTTCTTAAATAAAAGGTAAATTATTTGCTTTATGCAAAAATGACCAGAAAAATATTGTGCTGACCTAGCGTGTTTGTGCAAGCCTAAACATTTGATCATCTATAACCAATGTTTTCTCTCATTACTGACCACCATTTTGATCTGCTCTGGTGTTCATTGTAAATAACTGAAGTTCACTTTAATACTTGGTTATCTTTTAAGCATAGTCCATATGTTTCAATGAGTCTAAGGGTGTATTTTTCAAAAGGCCATTCAAGTGAGTTTTCCTGATCTATTTCCAAATCAGTTCTAATGTATGTTTGAATCACTTTCCCCATATAGACATCCAAAATCAGTCCACATTTTAACCATCTGACCAGCACTGATGTCCTCAGAGGAAATGTTGCCACCACCTATCTAGTCGGCCATGGCTTGGAGAATGCTGGAACACGGCGTCCCTCTCCTTAACAATAAATCCAGTGTTATTTTACTCCTTTATGGGCTTTACTGCCCATATAAAAGACCACAAAATGTGTAATGGTCTGACAGAGAACAACCAAGCCCCACATTAGTCAGACAGGATAATGGCAGCATCGTGCTGGTTTTACTCACTGATCTCAGTTTGTTGCTGATATTGGATTGCTGATAGCCCGAAAAAAATAAAGACACCTGCTGCCATCTTGGTACTCCCCACTCTCACGGAGATGTGTTATGAAAATGTCTACGTGTAGCATTTGGCTGCAAAAACAAGCAGTTTTCTGGGTTTGGGAGGAAGTTTCACAGGTAATTCTGCAGTCAGTGGATGTACTAAAGAAGATAATCCACCTATAATATGTATCCTATAGTATAGTATATAGCATAACATTAGTCTGGCTATCTCGGACCGACTCGAAGACATTGACTAGTTAGCCATTGATGTTGTGTCTAACATTAGAAAGTAAAACGAAGAGCAAATAGAAAGTGATTCACTTTAAAATGTCACTGTAGTAATTTTTCATTAAATGGATGATTCTGTCGTTTTTGTAGTGTTTGGTATATGACCTATATATATATATATATATCTATAGGTCTATATATATATATATATATATATATATATATATATATATGTTAATCTTGAAATTTTATGTAATATGTCATTACCATAACAATGTAATTATTAGATGTAAATTACATGTACATCATCAATTTAACATGTTTGGCACATCTGTATTATAGTGCTCCATAAAAACATCAATATTGCTGTGATAGATTTTTATAATGTCATATTACATGATTTATAGACTTCATTGACTTCATAATCACTGTGCAATCTGATGTGCTTATTTTTTTTATCAGAAATAACAGTAATTTACTTTTGCTATGAAACAGCAAGTGTGTGTCAAAGTGATGAATTTATCTTTAAAATCTACCTTTAAAAGTCTTAGCCCCCCCCAAAAAATTAGATTATCATGATTGTTCGATGCTGTAGCACACATATTGTTTACATTGCGACCGGTCTAATTAAGGAGTACCAATATGGCGGCCACTGTCTTCACTCCACCTTGTACTACCAACGTACTATCAGCAATCCAGTAACTAAATAGCGATCAGTGGTTTTACTGCCAATTATACTGATGCACTGGGACAAGCTGGACAGGCTAACAAAGTTTAAACTCTCCCCTACATCTACTGCTAGATTGTCCAAAATCTGGACACAATCAACTGTTCCACCGAGATAACAACCACAGCAACTGATACAGAAGGTTAATACTATATTTTTTTTATACTGATATTAACTTTATTTGTAATGAATGGACTATGTTTTCAAGCCTGGTCTGTTTAAGAAAACCAACAACTTCAAGTTACCAACTATATTGCCAGAAAACTGTCAAATATCTGGTTATAATTAAGCCAGATTTTTATAAATAGATACAGAAATGCAGTGGTAAAGATTGAAATTGATCTGGACAACTGCTGTTTGCTGCAATTTTATCACCTCCAAAATTTAAACACATTTTTATCCTGACTGCTGAATTTATGCAGTTTAAAATATTTTTAGCATTATGGATTCCCAGGATGGACCAACAAAAGAAAAACAGTTAAGAATAAACAGGAAGCAGGGATGAAATACCAAATTAAGGCAATCCTAATCTGGCTGATGCCTTATGATCTCATGTCTGCAGAGCAAACCAGACACATTATTTACTCTGGAACTTTTACAGAAGAAAATACTGTGCTTTGTTTTTATTTCCTAACTGTATGAATCATAACCTAGGATTAAAAATGGGAACTGATAAAATATTAAATCGGTATCCTTTCAAATGTTGCTTTTGTGTTCTGAGGCATTCCTTGTTGAGTTTTTTTGTATCTGCATATATGCTTAAAATTGTGCTGTCATTGGTCCCTCTTTTATTTGAACTTAAACTATGAAAAAAATTAAATGTATCTTAAAACACACACATTGATAATGTGTTACCAAGATTCCCGGTTGAAGCTAGTTTCAGTGTTTGTGGTTTGATTTTCATTTGTTTGGAAATGTAAACTGTAAAAACCCCCACTTTGAAGCTCAGTACTCCAGGTCCTCACATTGCATGAACACAAACACACTCATACGTACAGACAGGAGGTGAAGGCCGCAAAGTGGACATAGAACTGCACAGAGGTCTTCTGCTCAGACCGGGCTACAGAGGCTGACGTTTCCTTCGCTCTAGGAAACTTTAAAAAGTACCAGGCAGCCATGGCTCCGGGCGCATCCTTTTTCTGCGGCCGGTCGGTACCGGTGGCACAGCGAAGAAAGCAGTAAACCAAACAGAGAAGCCTCTTTAACAGGAGATAGAAATAAATGTAAGAAGTAAACGCAGGATAAGGCGGCTTAGAGGGGCGGGAATGTGGCTGATTCCATGGTGCTGAACCGCTGATGGTGATGATCGTTTGGCACAAACGTAGTTTTGGCTGAATTGTCAAAACCAACAGTGAGAAAGTTATTCTTTTTCTGTTTTTTTTTTTTTTTGTTTGTTTTCGTTTTTGTTATTTAATATGGCCGCAGACGTGATGGGAGCAGGCTGATACGGATACTTCAGTCCTCATTTGGACAGGCTCCTCTTTAAGTGCTCTACTTCCACCTGTGAGACAAAAGCAGGGAATCAGTTAGTATTGCACATTTTTTACAGGCTTTTAAGATTTAATGAACTAATGCTGTTCTCTGGAAAAAGTTTTTCTTTAAAATGTTCAACTTCCAACTCAAAATTTCTAAGTATTTTCTTCTTTTTAAACAATAATTCTGAAGCGGAAGAAAATACTAAATATGTCTTAACATTTCTGATGAGTAAAGACTGGCTATATCAGTTTTCACCCCTTTAACTAAGGAGTTACCAAAGCATCAGCAGGCCAATACTTGGAGCTGATAGTTTTTCTTCTTGTATTGTCATTGTTTGATGTGCTCAACAGTTCATTGCTTTCACATCCTGTGAAGCCCATGCCTTGCCATTCCTTCCATTTTATGTCCATTGTTTATGTGTTCTTTGATTTGTATTTTCCATTCTGGTTAAAATGAAACTTGTCAAACATTTCTTATCTTTTTGTCATTTTTATCATGTCAATCAAGGCAGGAAAAGCTATATGTCATGCTCTTGGGGCTGATGGTTCAGTTTTTTTCTTTTGCTCCTGCTCACCTGTCTAATTGGGCCAGCAGCAACGGTAATTAGCGCCAATAGTTTCCACCCGGTTCCTCTGCTATTTATGTTGTTTGCTTTCCTACCATCAGCGCCAGGTTATTTGAGCAGTTTGGTGAGATTTACTGCAGCGATCTGAATCTTGTTCTGTTTTCCCGATTTTGACCAGTTTCTGCCCAGTAGATCCAGAGTTTTGCTTTGCCCCTGTTTTCTCAGTTGGTTTGATCTGTTCAGGACTGATTCATGGATTTGGATTCAACTCTTTCCTCCAGATCGGACTGAACTTTGAATCAGGTCAGAGACTTTTGCGCCAAGTCGTGATAAGCCCAACAGTCCAGTCACTGACCTGGATTTCCTATCCCTGCAGGGATTCGCCCCGCAGCTGACAAGTAGCCCGGCATTCCTATTTGTTATTAAATAAATTCTTTGAACTATCCCACTGCCTGTCTCGCCTTGAATTCTGGGTCCAACTTTCTGATTTCATTGCACTATAATGGTTTTAAGAACTGGCGAAAAAAAGGGGTAGCCCTTGTTGGAAAATCAGTTAATTTCAGCCTTAAAAACACTGTATCCATATATCTCTACCCTTTAGTCTGCCCCCCTAGAAAATATAAATAAATAAATATAAAACCATTTTCCCCATATAAACACAGCTGATTAGTGAGTGAAAAAAGAGCAAACCTAGGAGATTGCATCCTGCTTAAATAAGCATCCACAGTAGCAAGAGGTAAAGACATCTATTGGTCTCATTAAGCTCAGGAAAGTCTATTCTTTACCTCCTAAGTTTGTCTTTCCCTTTTCTACAACGTTTTTGGATAGGATCATTTTTAATAGCTAAGAAACTTTTACCAGCTCTAGGCAATTTTAATTTAAACGGAGAGCAAACTGGGCTTATTTATTTGTAAACTTTTCACTCCTCTGACCTAAAATTACAAGGAGTGAATTAATAGGAGAAGCTCAGGTGGGAGGAGATCTTCACAGGCAATTCGACAGTCCCTGACTCCAGAAATGTGGGATTCTTGAAGGGCAGATAAGAGGATATAAAATGTTTGAATGACACCATGAGAGTCTGCCCCAGAGTTTTCCAGGAGCCATAAAGTGAAAGGAGCAGACATAAGGATGAGCAAACTCTTCACTCAAAGAGGATACAGTTTCTTCTATACTGTAAAAAAAAATGGGTTTGAAAACCAAAACCTTTTACAATACCCAAATTTCTTCAGCTCCAAATTTATGCACAACTTTATGTTGGTTTGTGATGTGAAATCTCATAAAATGTGAAAAAATAAACATTATATCCTAAAAACAGCATCCAGAAATAAGCATTTTTTTCTAAATCAGGTCAAGATAAAATAACTCTAACCTGTAAACTAATGCGCATCCTCTTCTCCTCATCCAGCGCAGTGGCCAGTTGCTTCATCTCCTGCCTGAAATGCATCCCATCAGGTTTCAGTCACATGAACAAAACATTTACCAATGAACAAACAGCCATGCAGGCCGGTTCACCTGTGGTGGATCTTCAGCATCTCTATGGAGGCTCTCAAGTCTCTCAGTTGGCTCCTGAGTTCCTCCAGCGTCGGCGACGGCGTCAGCGGCGAGTGCCGCAGCTCCGGAGAAGGGGTGAGACCCGAGGAGGAGGACGGGGAGATGGAGCGATGGCCGGAGTTAGGAGGGGGCAGCATAGAGGGTTTATGCAGCGGGGCTTTAACATCCCCTACCTAAAACAGATCACGATGGTATATAAGAAACGATTATTCATTTTATTTACCTACACAGTCACACAGCATGAGAGCTATCAAGGCGAATGTTAAATTTAATTAAAGAACTCTGAAAATGATCATTGTTGCATTATTTCTTTTTTTATAAAGGGTGGACATTTATCATATTGCCATGCATTAATAGTCATGATAACAATTTGGATTTATCGTCAAATTATAAATTAGAATTAGTGATGATGAAACACTAATGAAAGAATATGATTAACTGCTGTTACTATGGGATATTTAGTAATATGATTTACAATACTTTATGTAACTTGTCTTCCCAAGAGGCCTCTTTGAGATTTGTAGAAAGACTTCAAAGAATAAATTTGTGTTTTTATTGTGAATTTTATCGTTAACAGAATACTACAACAAAATATTATGATTAGATTTTATGGATGCATTGCCCTATCTTTCATTTTTAAGAAATGCAAAGAGAAGAAAAAACTTAAAAGAACAAATAAAAAACTATAAAGACGCACAGTAACATACAGAGGAGATAAGAGTTTTACATGCAGCCAGTAAAACATTCAAATGTTAAATATTTTATTTAAATCATTATTCCTAGGACTCATTTAAAAAGTTCCCAAAACCTCTGTAAAAAAAAACAAAAACAAGAATTGTATCCCAAACTTTGAGTTAAATTGGGATTTTCTCTCATTCTAAAAGGCTTAAATACATTAGATTAGATGAGCCTTATTGATCTCACAGCGGAGAAATTCACTCGTCACATATTGGTACAGTGATTAAAGAAGGTGCAAACAAGGAGGAAAAAGGTGCATTAAGAATAATCAAGACCCCAATACATAAACAACAGCCATTAACATATTTTCAAATGTTTTTTTTGTGTTGTGAATTAGCGCTATAAAAATAAAGTGAATTTAATACTTATTATGTTGGGAGTAGACCTCAAGCATTTATAGCTAACAGTTTTCTACTATATTGCTAGTTGGAGATTTAAACTCTTTTGCTTTGATATTGTATAATATTTGCTTGTTATTTTCAATTTCATCACCCTTTTGACCATCTGACCCAAACTGTCTCCCTATGGAAACAACCTCAAGAAACTACCAGAGAAAAACCAAGAATCAAGGCTGGGAAAACAACAAACCACTGAAATCCAGTGTTTCAGCTCCCAGCACAGCTACTTTAAAGTTGTGGACTTAAAGGGTAAAGGAAGGAAGTCGCATGTAATAGCAGGATGTCCAGTCCACAAACCAAAGGACTTGACCTCAGTGAGAGACACACAAAGACGCCTCTTATTGTCACTCATACTCTGATCTATTCAGGTCAGTGTTACCTCATATTCCATCAAATAACCAATCACCATTACATCAGTGAAGAGATTTTTGAAAACTTTTGTTAAACAACTCTGCTTCTGTTATTTGATTCTAAACTGTCCACTTTTATATACTAATTTATATAAACAGCCCGAGACCAGGTAGCTGGTCAAATGGCCCTTAATGTTTTCCATGACCCTAAATAAAATGATGTAGAAAAAAACGGTAAAAGAATAAGCTATGATGAGAGTGTTTGGAAGAATAAAGTTGAAGCTTTGGGCTTCAATTATCAACTCTTGGGCATAGTGTTAGTAGTATTAGTGGATATAGTAGCTCTTCACATTCAATTGAGGTGGTGATCGCTAGACAATGCTCCTCGACAAGTCGAACCAGTTTAGGAGACAATTAAAAAGGAGGATGATGAGCCTCTCAAAGGGCCTTTAAAGGGGTCCTAGAATGCAAAACTGAATTTACATTGTCATAGAATAACAATAGTTCAGTGGGTGAAATGGACGTACAGACAAGTACAAACCCCATCGACAACTCCTTTATCTGCAAATTTCACAATTCTAAACTTCCACCATAAAACGTGCGAATGCAAACGAAGCCGTGAATTAACGTCAACTCTGGCCTGTACTTTTGTCACACGCCGAAATTAACATACAGAGTAGCCCACTGGTTTACTGACCCAAGAACATGAATAGAGGTAGCCTACAGTTGGGTTTACTTCTACAAGAATTGCAAAGCAGGCAGTTTCTCTAATGAAAATAGCCAGAACCATGGGCGTAAATGCAGTGATCCAGGTTTCATGGAGAAGGGGGAAAATTTTCACAGTCTTCCCAAGGATCCGAAGACCCGACAGGTAAGGATTATTTTTGTCTATCAGAAGATCCCTGCAAAGTTTGATGCTCATCTGTTTATTTGCTCTAAACATTTTACCGAAGACAGCTTTCAAAATCTTGGACTGTTCAAAGCAGGATTTGCTAAACTTCTTTACTGAAACGAGGGGCTGTTACGAACGTAAGGTCATCACAACTGCAAGCTGTTTTATTTTGTCGCTAAAGGCCAATTTATGCTTCTGAAGCATAGACTCTGCAATTGTCAAATCTGTCTCTGTCCGTGACCACGCCCCCTGTGCAGAGGTTCTGCAACCGTCGTCACGCACCTCAAAAAATTCCTGACTACGCATCGGACGGTCGCAAACCCGCGCAGACCTCAAACGGAAGTGCACAGACAAAAAGCAGCTGTGATTGGTCCTTGGTATGCCTTTCAGGTTGTCTGTGTGGTCGTCCTTCTCGATTTGGTGCCGGGGCGCGCCATTTTTAAAACCGAGGAACAATGGAATACTATGATGAACGGTTAATCGAGGAGGTTCGCTCCATTAACAGAAGGTTAATGGAGCGAACGCAAGGGGGAACAGCAGGTTCCCCCTTGCGCTTTGGCCAGAAACTGCTGTGCGTCTCTAGAAATTCCAGACCGACGGTGCAGAAGCATACCAGCAAAACTGGTTTGCGAACAGACCAAAGCGACATTTGATGTGGGCTGTTGCAGAAGTATAATCTGCCCTTTAGCTGGTGCTAGCATATCTAGGGTGACCAAATTTGGGCTTCTGAAAAGGAGAACAAGGAGCGACTGAACCTAATCCGGTGACGGTAATCACGGTAAGGGTGGAAGCACAGTAAGCACGGGGCCGCAGTTGTCCAGACTACCGTCACCGAGTCGGGTTTGGTCGCTCCGTCCCCCGCTGGCTCCCTGCCCCCATTCGCTGGGGTTGCCGGACCAGCCCCGGAGCTGAGGGCTGGGTTCTGCTGCACTGTAGTCGACCAAAATCCCAGACGATTTTGAAATTCCCCCTGGACATTTTTTTAGGTATGAAAAGTACGACATGTCTGGGGAAAAAAAGGACGTCTGGTCACCCTAACATATCAACAATTTGATGTTTCAGTGAGTGAGTGCTTGTTGCTATGATGCGTCTTTGCTCAGCAGCTTTGCTCGCTGTAAACCAACTAATCAGTGCACAGCTCATCTAAATATTCATGAGTGTACCATAAAAGTAAACCTGTCGTTTCATTCTAAGCCTTTTAACCAGGCTTGCATTAGAGCTCAGAGAACAGCAAATGTTACACATCCTATTCAGAGACCTTAAGGACCAGCTCCAAATACCCTATATTTTCATTCTATGACCCCTTTAGAAGACCAAATATTATTATATCTTTAAATATACTCTGGATGTTTAATTTGGAATAATGAGAGGACCAAGGAAAACAGATTGCTTTGTTCCCTGCCATAGCTTTTCACCAATTTTTACTTTTGCAACCTCGTTTTAAATCTGTTAACATTTTTGATATAAGAAAACAGCTGGAGTAACTTTCAACAGATCACATTTGAAAAGGAAAATTAACCGTATGGCGCCATCTGCTGGCTAAACACAAGAAAATATATAAGTAAATGGAGTGATCATACCGGAATGATAGGGACTCCTTTCTTGATGGAGACGGGCTCCTGGTCCTCTTTTCTCCTGTCCTTCCTTTCCTCCACCGTAGGAGAATCCAGCTCTGTATTGGACAGAGAGGACTGCCAAAGAAAGAAAATAATATAATCAGAAAACCTAGAGAAGGAAAATCAACAATGTTTCTGTTTCATATAAACAGAAAATAGGAAATTGCCACAACATGTTTAAATAAACTAGGTTATCTGGTTGGGGAGGATCTATGCACGCAGAGATTGTTGAAGCTTTACTGTGGCACAAAAGTCAGCAAGGATCCATTTTTTTGTATGTGTTTCTATACTATGATTTATTAAAAAGATATAGAAATAATTAAAGACAAGCGTTTGCAAATATAGTATGCTCAATCAAAACTGACACTCCACCAACATATAAAACACTGAACCCACCAACTGTGTGGGTAAACAAGGTGGAAGCATTATGCTATAGGGTTTTCTTTGCCAAGAAGCAATGTAGAGGTGTATATACATGTATATGTATTTATGTAAATACATGAGTTATATATATTGCTTTCCCTTTATAATATGAATGCATTATACGTGATATAAATAGGTGGGAGTCATTTTAAAACACGTAGTTAACTGATATGATGTTTTTGTTTTTGTGACACCCAAAGTTTCCTTAATTACATGTATGGAAATATGACAAATTGTTGGTGCCCTTCATTTAATAAAAGAAAAAACAAACTGGCCACTGGATTAACTTGAATCTGAGAAAAGTAATAATAAATAAAAAAAAATCTATGAAAATGGGAAAATAAAAGTCAGATATTGCTTTTAAATCATGCTTCATCAAAATTATCTAAAAAAATTAACTTATAAAGCAGGGTTAGAAGAAAAAGATGGTACCTCTAGAAAAGGCAAAAAAATAATGTGATCAGTGCGACAAGTTATATCTCTGTGTCAACTAATTGACATTAAGAGTTCTTGGACTGTCTCGGTTTAGAGAGATTTACATCCTGTGCTAATAACCTATCATGAGCCCCACATGTTGTGGTTTTAAGGGGAATAAAACTGGGTCAGTAGGTTCCTGAACACTCACAGGTGTTATGACCTGGGAACGAGGCCGGCGGTCTGTGACTCTAGGTCGCGATGCCGTCGGGTGGCTCAGCTTCTCTGTTGAAGAAACGACCGCATCCAGGTCAAAATCTGAACACAGAAACAAACAGACGAGTTACGTCCAGAAAGGGCGAAAGGGAAGGAGGAGTCCAAGTTGCTGCCACTCAGACTCACCGGTGCCTTGTGACCTGTCAGGGGCAGAATCTGGTGTTGAAGCACCGCCCTCAGACTTTGGGCTTTCACTCCTGAGCAGGTAAATCAAACAACAGAATCAGCCGCTAGAAGGTAAGGGTTCATCTCTGGTTCTTTTGGGTTCTGTGTGTGTTTACTGACGCTAATGTAGGCGGCCTCTCTGGACGCCTTGGGGGATGGGAGGAGGAGGAGGAGCTTGACTTTGGGGGGTGGGGCTTCTTGGGAAGGTGCATTGGGAGGGAAGGCTTAGGGATTTCTCCAATCTTCATCTCTTCACCTACACACACATACATGAGAAATAATAGCGCTACAGAATAATAATCATCTTCAAGTTGACCTTAAAGTTGAAAAAAAGAAAGAGTTAAAAGGTAAAAGATTTGCAAAGCTGCAGGAGTAAATGGGAATACAGGAACAGAGGATGGAAGGATAATGAAGAGGGAGGAGGGTGGAAGCTGAGATGTTAATAGTGCAAACACAAACCAAGAGACACAGTTTCTAATACATCTTGGTAGAATCATCCCTCAGGTTCTTCATTAATCTCCTGTAAATATTTTCTAATTACATTTTTCCAATGTAATGTACATCTGTCAAAATAAAAAGAAACATTTTCAACAAAAAAAATATTATGGTCATAACCAAGGGGGACCCTGCAAAGATTTAAATGCAAATAAAAAGGACGTGAATTGGCTGAGTTTTTCTCCTCAGAGAAACAGAAACACCCCTGCTGACGAACAGCCCATCTAATGGTACTGTCTGTCTGTTCTGGTACAAGTTGCACTTGAAGTATCTAAATATTCTAATCTTTCATCATTTTTGCATGCTTTATTTTCTTTCAAGGATGCTTATATTTTAGGTGCATTTTGAATTTAGGTAAACTCTTAGAAGGAATAATTGTAATAAAAAGCAAGTCTTTAAAATTTCTCATTTTGGTGAGAGATATCTGTGCCTTCGGTTTGAGCGCAAAGGAACCAATCTTAGCGTGCAGTGAGACAACACGCAGAGACAGAGTCGAGCGAGCGGAGAGACAGCTGAGCGCACAGCTGGTGTTGAGCGTGGAGAGAGAAGGTCGAGCGCGAACAGAGATGGATCCGAAATGGAACTGAGCGCGACGATAGTCCAGTGAGAAGCGTTTTTCAGAGTTGAGCACGCGCCAGACCAGTTTTGAGGGTGCGCGTGTTTTCTCACTGTGAGCTCGAATTGGTTCCTGCGCGTTTAAACCGAAGGCACAAGTATCTCTCCATATAAATGCTCCATTAGCGCTGTCTTTGGAGAACAATTCCACCCTCTTCAGTTTCGGTTTTAGCTAAAGCCTCTCTGTTGACGAGTGTTTTACCTGAGAGTAGGGGGGAAAAATCATATTTGTGATTAAACATAACTAGGTCTGCGTCATCAATGTCGCCAACACCGCAATGATTTCAGACAGCGGAGCGACCAGCGCAGCGATCAGACAACAATTGATCTGTATAATGAAAATAGCTGCATGAGCTGGAACGCTGTAGAAAGCAAGAATATTTATATAATAATGACCGTCTGCCCTATTTACTAGGGGGCAAATATAACTCAAGTGACCGCTGCTGCGGAGTCTAAAGATTGTCAACAAAAGTTTATTCTGTGACTTGCAGAGGAACTTCGTAACAGGTTTATGCAGGAAAAGGCAATACAAGAAGAAAAGATGAGACAGCATCGTGAGATGAAGAGACGTTCTCATGGTAAAACAACACAGTGCCAGGTGCGCAATCTCTGCAACGGGAACCGCAGCACTGAGCGTTGTGTGCACTGCACAAAGTATACCTGTTGCAAATGCATGGAGTACTCGCATTGGGTTTGTGGAAACTGCTAAATGGGACAATTGTAGCTTCATATGTAGTGCTTTTCCTTAGGGGAAATAAATGTTACTCCAATATTGAAATCATACTGTTGATCATTTTCGAAGCTGAAATGTTGAATGACATGAAAAGGCGAGACAAGACAAAATACAATTATTCTCTAAGTTGTTCTTTCTTTCACATAGTGAGCTTTGCAACAATACAAATGAGTCTGTTGGTGAATGGACAGTATAAATAGGCTCTGCCTTGCCTTGTTGGAAAAGCATGGTTATGACCTGTTCTCAGCTCAGGAACTAGGACCCGTATGATATCTGGTTGTCCAGGTTTGCCTAAATAAATGATTTAGATATGACCTATGAAGATATTCCTGCAAAAAGGTCTGACGTTGCAGGAGCAGGTAATGAAAAGTGTTTGGAGCATGCTCTTGTTCTGATACCAGTTTGTTTCAGCCTTTATCCAGTCTCATGTAGAAGGGCTGTTCATATCACGGTTATTTGCATTACAACAAGGACAGTTAGCAAGGTAGAGTGAATACACAAACTTGAAGACTTGAAGAGGGGAGGGGGGCTTGCAGGAAAACTGAAATTCTCCGGGACATCTATTGTTAATTCTTTAGGCAGAACAAGATATAATTTCAAAAACAAATAATATAATATTAATATAAATAACATTAAAGTCCTGATTTACTATTGAGACGTACCTAAATATTATTCAAGACCTATGACTATTTTTGCTCATTTAAGACAACTTAAGGCCTCACGGAAACCCAGCATTACATCCCGCACTATTGTGGTGAAGAGTGGATGCATCTGTCTTGCACCGGCAGTACTGAGGGTACCAGTGTTCGACAAGTATCAAACCACAGAGCCTGCAGCTTCCTGTTGCACGCAAACAGATGCTGATTAGCTTTCTCAATCAAAGCTCTGTCACTTTGTACACAAAGGCAGAGGAAACAAGCTGAAAGGGAAATTTAAGCTGTTAGAGGCTCGTTGGAAGTTGGAAATCTGCCAATCAGACAAGAGCAGTACAAGGTAGCAAAATGCATTAAAAGCGGGGCTGACGCAGGTTAAACGGGACCACGTTTACCTCGATCCTGGTCTCTGTGTGGCGGATGCTCAGGCCGCTCAGGGGGGGCTTTCTTCCCTTCTGACTTTTTCTCTACAGATTAAAGTTCACATTTTTGGGTGGTTGAATTTACAACAATTAACAAATAAAAGCAAAACTCAGCCATTTACCTGTGGTGTGTTTAGAGGAAGGCGCACTGGGTGGCGGTGGTTTCTTAGGTCTCTAAAAAAACATTGAAATATTTGGGTAAATTTTTGAATAAGCTTTTTCACAGTTTAGCTTTTTTTGTTTCAAAGATGTCACAATTACCTCTTTCTCAACTTCAAGCAGTTTGACAAAGTTATCTGGGAAAACGCCTTGCCTTCCGCCGATCTCCCCCATCCACCAGCCTGCATCGGCACATTCCTGTAAAAGCAGAACAGTCTGAATCGACAACATCAAGCGTATTTACTGTGGAAAACTGGAAACATGAATGCTGCTCTCACCTTTGTGATAATATTGATAATATCCCCCTCTTTCAACGTCAGCTCATCTTCATTTTGTGCTTCATATGGGAAAAGGACCTTACATTGCTCCCTCACTGGCAGCCAATGAAATAAAAAATAAATACATCAATGGTTCATGCATAAATGCTATGAGAGTTGTTTTAGAAGATTTTTTTTCCTAACATCTTGAGTGGTGCACAATAAGTGTTAATATCACAGAAAAAAAGGACATAAATTATTTTTTTATGTATTTTGGCAGGTCCAAACGGCATAAATATTTACTTCTGGTAACGATGCCAAATTAAAAACAAAAGGAATCTGCTCTAGTAAGAATAGTAGGTTAAAGACTTCTCATTTTACCAAAACCGGTACACCCTAAATCATAAAAACAATGGTCAAGGTTTAGATGCCAACTTAAGAAAAGCACATGCAAGGCCACGTGGGGGTTGCTGCTTTTCTTCTGAACCAGTGAATTTAATGTTTTAAGGTTAGCCCATACCGCAGTGTTGCATAGCCATGTTGCAGCAGGCTTCTAGGTTCCTCTGCAAGTAAATTGGTGTGAAAATATTGTTTGTAATTCACTTCTTAAACCAGGGCAGCTGCATGCAAGTACAGTTAGCAGTAGCTAATAATTTTCTTCATAAAAAATACGTTTTTTAAGACCTGGCAACCAGCTGGCAAACAGTATTATTAAAGGTTTGAATGAGAGCAGACACCATCTACTGGCAGGGAGGAGTTAAACTTGTAGCTTTCACCTTTAGGGGTCTGAAATAGTGTTGCGCCGATGCCATTTTTTGGCCCCGATACCCGATACCTGCCTGTGCAGTATCGGCCGATACCGATACCATAATAATGTAAAATAATTGCCATCATGGCTTTGTCAAGCTGCTGCCTACCTTTGTGAAGCAGGAGAAAATCTAATACAAAGTGAATCCAGTAGAACCTTTTATCGCCTACCAGGAGTGGGTGACAATAGTTGAACAAACTTATGGCTCTCAAAATGGTATCGGTGCCCTATTTGTTGGTACTCGCCGATACCGATATCACCATTTTAGGGCAGTATCGGGGACCCGTCGGATACTGGCATCGGTATCTGTGCAACACCAGTCTGAAACCAGTTCAAGAAAGGGCCGTGTGGCTGCAGGTTTTCTTTCCAACCAAGCAATCGCACACTAGACTCCATTCATCTCATCAAGTCATCTTGTGTAGATTGCACTCAGTTGATGAGATGACTGGAGTCTGGTGTGCTATTGCTTGGTTGTAAAGAAAACCTGCAGCCACACAGCCCTTTCTGGAACCGGTTTGAGACCCTAGGGCTTTTCTGCTCAATGGAAACTGTGGATAGTGGTTTTCCAAAGTTAATAGCCAATAAGCATTTTCATTTGCTACTATTTTTTTTGTCAGAAAATTATATCTAATATGATTAAAGCTGACTAGATTTACGATTTCTTAAAATGTAAATTGTATTCTTCAAACTACAAAAACATGTTAAACACTTCCAGTCATCATGAAGGAATCAGCTGCGATAGGGTTTTGTGTAAAGCCCCTTTTATATGAAGATCTGCAGTGTACAAAATAATAAAACATGTTGTTTCCTGTTGCATGTTGAAAGTGTTAAAGGGAAGTAGACTATTAACTTAAAATAAAAACTAAATACAAACAAAAAACAAAAGAATGCATATTTGGTCATTCGGTTTGATTCAACCAAGAGAGAAAAATATCAATATCAGCAAGACAGAAGGTGACTAAAAACACACTAGATAGGTTTAAAACTAAAGATGAACTCTATAAAGGTATTTTAAGCATTCAATTATATTTCATCTGAACCAAAACTGAATAAATGAAGCTCATGGTATCAAAATCAACCTTAAAGCAGCAGAAGCACACAATTGATGAGGCTGTTTATGAATGCAATGTAGGGGATCTATATTCATGCAACAGTGCCAAAGAAAGAAAAAGTAAATATATTTACATCTTGCTTTTAAATTTAAGTGTGGTTGGTGGAAGCTTTGCGTGTGTAACTTATTTCCAATAAGAGCAGCACAGCAGAACAGCTTCTCTCTTTTCCTGCAGGCATTGGCTGCAGAGCTTCATTTGACTCCCTGTCAGTGCTTCAGGGGAGGGAGAGCCTCGCTGCCTCACTCCTCGCTAAAGAAGGTTAAATTCTAAGCAAACCGTGCTTCATGTGTTGTCACCAAAGTCTCAAACAACACAGAACAAAAGTCATCAGATTAATCGGCAGTAACATTTTTGGAAAAACATTGCTAGAGGGGGTGTGAAAAGTCACTAAATATAGTGACAAAATTGCTAAGTTGTGAACAGTAGGATTAACAGTTTTTTCTCTGTCTTGTATTTGTATGTTCTGTCATGGTTTCTGTTTTGTTTTTTTATTTGCCTGCCCTGCAGCTGGCGGGTTTGAATGTGCTGTAGCAGCTTTATAACTTTGTTCTCCACAGGGACAGCCTTTCTGAAGTGACATCAGTTACGGATGGACCTATTTAAATTTCATATAAGAATCTCTGAAAAGCTTGAAGAACCCTGAGAATAGAAAAAAGTGTCTGTAGCTTTAAAATGAGCAGCTCCTGGGTCAATACTTTGCAGAAACAGATTTTACTGCAGTTCTGGTTGCATCTCTTTTGAGGTTTGTCTTTACTGGGTTTCTATATCGGAGATATTTAAAAAAAAAAAAAAACTGACATGTCAGACCACCAGGTAATACATTTCTCTACATACTATATGAATTGAAAGCTGTTCGATTGAAGCAATTGTTTATCACTTTTATGCAATAAATGAATTTCAAACTCCTTCCTTCCTTGAGACAATCTCTATATCTAGATTTGAGTTTGATTGTATTCAGCTCCCTGATTAAGGAAAATATAAATACTCTGTTCCTGTTTTTCTTTTCTTTTACAATGCTTTTCTATCCAATTTGAAAATCTAGGATGCCAGTCATTTCCACAATCAAAACACGAACAATGCTAAGGTAATGATGATAAGAAACAATAGTCTATCAGAATGAAAGGAAACCTGGGCTACAATAAAAGGAAGTGATAAAGAAATTAGCTACTTAAAGGATTATGACTGCCTAAGTTACAGAAATAAAGATGTTGCAGAGTTTTTTCACCTTAGCTGAAACTTCTCACCTTTAGCTTTGCTGTCAGGTTCTGTCTTCATGCTTTCAGCTGCTACGTTCACGCCTTTCCCTTCGTTGACCTGGGGCACATATGACAGGAAACCTTTAGATTCTCAGACACAACGCCAACACGCTCAGTTGGTTCGATACTTCCTCTCTTTGCTGCAGTATGAACTTGCAGCAAAGAATGTCTTTTTAGGGTTGTCTTATAAGAAGCTGAGGAAACAATGACTGAGCAGAAAAGGACCTTGAATCAATCTGACCTTATCACTAAAAGTTACAATGAGGCTATGTCTCATTATTTTGTGTTTTGTTCCTCCACTGGGTGAATGTACTGCTTATGAGGCTGGGTTTATTGACAACTTCTCAGACTGAAGGAACCTTGTCTAAAGACCAAAGGTTTCAACAAAAATTAACATGAATACAGGAATTACTCTATTTTTATTTCATTTTTTCCAGCTGGATGATTTAAATACAGGATGCTGGAGTTGGGGCTTGAACCGACAACCCTCAAGTTGCAGAGACAGAAGCGTAGGCTGAAGGAGTTTGCCACATTAGTTCAGATGCAATTATTGGATAGCATTACTTATATTTGCCAGACATAGAATAAAATAAATGTTACTGAACTAGTTACTGGGGTTCAGGGTAAATATTTGCACATTAAATTCGAAATATTTAGCCAGTCTCTACATCTAATTTTCTATGGCTAAATGCTAACCACCAAAACCCCATCCATCCATCCATCCATCCATCCATCCATCCATCCATCCATCCATCCATCCATCCATCCATCCATCCATCCATCCATCCATCCATCCAATCCAATCCAATCCAATCCAAAAGCACCAATCCAACCTCATGTCTTTGGACTATGGAAGGAAGCTGGAGTATGCGGGGAAAACCCACAGATAAATGGGAACAACATTCATATTAGTTGCAAAAAGACCTCAGGTCAGAGTTTGAACCGAGAACTTTGTCTAGCAACAGAGGAACAAACTGCACCGCAGTGCTAAACCTATAAAAAGTACACACAACATGATTATTAATATAACTTCCTAGACCTAACCGATGAATAACAATATTATCATTCATATTAGAATGCTACATTCTGCAAATTAGCACACATTTATTTAGCTGAAAGACCTCTTGAAGGTTTGTGGGAAACGAATAAAGACCAAAGGAAAATAGTACAAATTTAAAGCAATTAATACATAAAAACATATGAAATTTCAGGTTTACTAAATGTATAACAATGCAAATGTTAATGTTAGCATACTTAAGTTAATCAGCTCAAATTATGGCTATATTTTCTTAAATAACTGATACTTATATTTAACAAAAATAACAGTATGAAAAAGTATAAGGTGCATGCAATTACGGAATGTCAGATAAAACATTTTTTACAACATCAATAAATATTTTAGAGTAATGATGCTTTAAAATTCCAAATATAGCTTTAGGTAGTGAAATGTAAAAAGACACAAGCAAACTACCACCTTTACTCAGTAAAATTACATACTAATACAGCATGGTTTGACACTGGGCAAATATAAACAACAATGTAATTGTTAGACTGCTAGATCTGTAAATCTCTATGATATGTGATGTAAGAGCTGGAAATTGGTTAACAGTTAACAATTGGTAGCTACGTTTACCTACATGGACACAAATAATTAGATTGAAGGCCCGATCAGGTAAAAATCGCTTTTTGTAAACAAGTCCGACATTCTAATCCAATCGGAAAGAAATTTCGTTCCAAAGAGAGCGGTGCTTTTTGCTGATTGTAATTCCGATTGCGGTCCCTCTGCACACCTATTTGGATATTTGGAGTAAAATAATTGCCACTGCACTTGGGACTAACGTCAGCGTAATGGTAAAATGGCCTGTACCTATATAGCACTTTTTCAAGTCAAGAGACTTGACCAAAGCGCTTTACACTACATTCAGTCATTTACCCATTTGCGCACACACTGATGGTGGCAAGCTACATTGTACAGTAGCAACAGCTGCCCTGGGGCTCACTAACAGAAGTGAGGCTGCCGTACACTGGCGCCACCGGGCCCTCTGACAACCATCAGTAGACAATGCCCAAGGACACAACAACACTGAAAGTCGGAAACCGGGTTTAAACCGTCAATCCTTCGATTTACATTCGAAACCACTGTTTTTCCGCCGGTTTTTGCAATAAACTAGAGCGCTCTGTGCATGCTTAAATGACATCATCTAATCTAATACTTGGTACAGGTACAGTATACACATGTCATGATCGGATCTTTCTATTGATTGTTGATGTAAACAACAGTGGTGCAGTGGGTAGCACTGCTGCCTTGCAGCAAGAAGGTTGTGGGTTCTGCTGCAAGGCTTCCTCCAACAGTCCAAAAACATGACTGTTAGGTTAATTGGCTTCTCTAAATTCTCATTAGGTGTGAGTGTGTGTGTGCATAGTTGTTTGTGTCTGTGTTGCCCTGCGATGGACTGGCGACCTGTCCAGGGTGTACCCTGCCTCTCGCCCGTCGACAGCTGGAAATAGGCACCAGCACCCCTTGCAACCCCAAGATTAAGCGTGTCAGAAAATGGATGGATGGTATACAAAGATTAAGACTTTCCGATCAACCGAGGATCAGATTAAGGAAATTTTATGGATGTAAACATAGCTAGTAGTAGTCAGTATCTTTAGCATCTTAACGTAAGTTAAAAATGGAACTATTTAGACAGGGAGAGGCTAAATTACTTTTTTAATATCCAAAAAATTTTATCCTGATAGACATTTTTAGAGGTGAGGTATCAGTGGTACAGAATTTCAGACTTGAATTCGAAACAACAGAACCTATGTCAGCATTTAACTTATGGCCAATTTATGACGGGTCAGAAAAACTACTAGAAACACAAACGGCTCCCAACAAATTTAATTTTTTTTTTTCTTTTTTTAATGTGGACCTTAAATATCTGCATCGGATTTTGCATCAGCTATTTCTTGGGTTCAGCTAAACTGCTGGTTTAAAATTGCAGCCTTCAAAGTTGGAAGGTAATATCTAGCAAATTGCTACACTGCAAAAACGATCCAGAAACAAGTAAACATTTATTAAATTAAGTGTATTTACCCCTAATCTGAGCTGGTAAATAAGATGATCGGCCAATGGAATGAGTATTTGTACTCTTAAAATAACATAATTAGATATATGCCCTTAAAATAAGACACTGCAATTGTTTGTTCGTCTCTTTAATGTTAATTGTCTTGTTCCATTGGCAAAGCGTCTCATTTACCTCCTCACTTCCAGAAAAAATGCAGTATTTTAAGAAAAAAATACTTATCTAGATTTAGATTTTTTCCAGTGTATCTGCTGTTTCTGGTAAAAGCAGAAGTGAGGCTGACGACTTTAGCCTCGTCTGCAACCCTCCTCCAAGTTTACAAATCTTAAACTTGGTTGTTTTTCCTCAAAAAAGAAAAAAAAAATCCTCATCTCTATCCAGCTAAACCTTAAACATAAAATGAGACAAAAGGATAAATAATACATATATCAATATATTTGGTTTCTCTCATAAACACTAATTCATCCTATGAATAGATTCATCACAGAAACCAGGAGGCGACATGCTGACGAAGATAACCATGTGAGAGGGCTACCGTTAAAGCGGCCGTTGTAACCCAGCTGGAGTGGATCCCTCGCTGGTGTTTGTGGAACCAGGGTGGCTCTTCCCCAGGAAAACACACACATTCACAGCGCGCAGTCTGTCTGAACACACACACGGCTCTGTTCAGCTCGACCTCTCCCTCCAACACTTCCTCCCTCCCTCCTTACATCCCTCCCTCATTCCCTAACTAATGACAGGCATGTGGAGGTGCGAGCTCTGAGTAATAACCACAGCAGACAGCGGAGTAAATAACCAGCTATCATTTCTACGGATAGGAGTCAAAACTTGGACTGACGTGTGAGACTTTTCAAGGCCAAACGGTTCAGTTAATAGTAACCTTCTTAGTCCTGATTTTACTACTATTAGTGGTTCAAATGCCTCTGAAGGGCTTACAGGGATTAAAGCAACAAAAAAAATCCTGAGCCTTAACTTTTTCCACGCAGGCAAGAAACTATATATGTCTGTCTGTCTGTCTGTCTGTCTGTCTGTCTGTCTGTCTGTCTGTCTATCTATCTATATATATATATATATGTGCGTGCATGTCTGTGTGTGTATTTTCAAGCCATGCCAGGAAGGTGTGGGGTCATGTGATCAGAGATTGCATGAATGATTCAAGACTAAATTTGAATTTTGAAAATCCAATACCAAAAACCGCCAGAGGATAGAAAAAGTGCATCTATATATAGTGTGAAAGAGAGGTCGTGTTCGGCGAGGAAAGCCCAAACCCTTATCTTTAACTTTCATTGACGCTGGTACATCAGCTGTTGCCATAGCTCCCGGAAAACGTGTAGCGTGTGGGCTCGCACGAACAGCATCTTGATGACCAGGTCTATAACTCATATTTGTGTGGCACCTTTTTGCTGCCTGATGCGTAAATAAGCTTCCTGGAGCACAGCGTGCAGAAGCAAGAGCCTGGTTCACCTAACTTCCTGCACCAGCTGCTAAATGGCTTGCCATCTCGCCCTGTCTCCTCCAACCATGCCCAGCGCCATTTATTTTTGAGACTATTATCTATGGTTGTAAGATCTTCCCTGCAGTTCCTGAATTGCATTATGCCCACTCCATGCAATTCCGTTCCTTCTATCCTCCTTCTCTCCAAACACAAAGTTTAATTAATTAAAATAATTATCATAAATAGCTCAAAGTAGACATGAGATTAAGGAACGCTTTAAGTAAAACAGTGAATTAAAGTTTTTTGTGCAGAGTGATGGTGACTTGCATCACAGTAGTCAATGTTTAGACAGCAGATTTCTACAGAGGTCAAGCTTTATATAGGCAAACTGACATATCAGTATCTGGAAATGGATAGATATAGCTTTGAAAACAATAGAATTGGGAAGGAAGTGTGGAAATACAAATAATAGGATGGGTTTAATGCAGAGAGTGAATTTCGTTGCTTTGTACTTGTGACAATAAAGCTTAATTGTAGTTCCAATAAAGTTTAATT